AACGTCGAAATTCGCATTCTGCTCTATAACAAGGTTTGAAAGGCTTTCAAAACAATCTTCAAGCGTTGAGCAACGCTGCTGGGATGTCTTGATCTGCCTACGATGGGCGCTAAACCGCTTTTACAGTCCCTTCTACCTCAGCTATAAGACTCTCCTGGAGAGTATGGTCGGGTGGATGAGACGATGGTCGATCGCAAGAATCGGTAGACATATTATCGTGGAATAACAAGCCGTTGATCCACCAACGCTTCTACAGAATTTGGCGGCGCGGCTTTCAAGTAAACTTGACGAGGGGACCTTAATTGGCCCTTGACTCCGTATACCGCGTTGTGGCTCACAGCTATGAGTTTTGCTTGCATTTTGCAAGAGGCAACGCCACGACGACCGGTGCTGGGTTTTGCTCGGTCGCTTTCGGAAATTCTACCAGCGCCGACTCGAAAAAGTAGAATGTCAGTCTTGTTCTCATTATCAAGACACACAAACGTTCGTGAAGAGTCCGGCTTGCCGGGTTGTCTTGGGCGAAGAACGCTTGACATGTTCATCGGATCGCTTCACCGCTGATCGAAAAGCGAACTGCTCTTTAAAGACTGTACAAGTATATAGTACTTCTGACATTGAGGAAGGGGTGGTGTCCGATAATTCTTTTTTCTTTAAAAGATGTGGAATTGTATGACCGCACGCGGAAAACTTGGTTGGGCGGTGCGAGTCTTCGCAGTCCTGTCGCTTGAAGGTTACCGTGACGGGTATGTCTCGCAATCAGTGATAGTGCCCACTCTCGCGCTCAAACGCTTTGCTTGGGATCGTCAGCGCAACGCTCTGTTGCTTTGTATGGATAAGGGCCACATTGGCTGTATCAGCATCTCGTATTCAAAGTAGAATATTTGCCTTGACTTGTAACAAAAAGCCACCTTGATGTCCAGAGATGTGTCGGATCCGATTGATCTTCGACAGATGTTTTGTTTAGCGAAGACGTTTTCGGACATGTCCAAATAATACAATTTCGTAGCTAGTGATTAGCGATATAAATTATAGGGGCCTTGGACCACCAACTACATGACTTATCCAGTCCAAGTATCGACAGAAGCTTGTTAAGCGTCTCGTTACGCCGGAAGACGGATACGTGATAATACTATGCATTATGTACAAAGAACTACCATTTTCTTTTGACTCGGTAACCGGAATGGTGACAAATGACTATTAACCATCCCTATACAGCACGGCATGAGACTTATATTTCCGCAGTCTTCGTCTAGTGGATAACGTGCCACCCCACGCGCACCACAAGGGCCTCGCCCTTGGACAATACGAACACACATACCCGTCTATACTTTCCGCCGCTGATCGGCTGATTTTTAGGACTTTCTGTCATCGTCCCTTCAAAGAGCGCAAAAAGACTGGTTTTCTATGCCACCCCTGACACTGATCTCAGCAATGGTTGGTCAGATAGTGATTGTATTTCTTTTTTTAAATATAAAAACTTATTTTGCTTGCTAGTAGAAATAAACAATTAAATCCCTCAAATTTTATTCTGAATCATGTCATATTTAGTGACCATCAAGTCGACGTTGGAAACTCTAATTTTGGCAATTTCCTTACGCGACAGCTGTATCAGTATTTAATGTAGTAGAGGTAGCAGAAGTAGCAGACGAAGCAAGAGTATAATTCGAATAGGAGGCAACAAAGTAACCCTATCGTAATTTTTGTTTTGAAAAGTTACAATCGATAGATGCACACTTTATGGGTGTAATTTAAGTTACCTTTACGTCTCGTAAACATTTCTGTAACTTTTAAAGAGAGCTTACTTTATCCGAGTAATCACAATGATTCGTAAGAGTGATGGTTTTTAAGTAGTAAGAAAAGTTATATACACAAAAGATGTCGACTGCGCAACAAAGTTTGTGCTGTATCGAAGCATATTGCTATTGTTTTGTTAACTTACCAGAGCAGAATACCTCATTTCTTCTAGATGCTTGAAGATGGCGGTTTTCTTCAAATCATAATCAGAAGATTGTTTCAAATACGCTTCGTAAAAATGCCAGATAAATGAAGAAGAAATTGAAGGTAAAAGAGTTCAGCTAGTTCATCAAACTATAGGATGCAACCAATTCCGAGATGAAAAGCTTTTGCTCAACGATCGCAAAGAGAAGACGCTGGAGGTGGCAATTGTGCACATACCTTCAAAGTCTAAAGCGATTAGTGCGTTCGAGCAAATACGGCTCGAACGCGAAAGAATTATTGAGCAAGCTTCAAAGAGACCTCTCAAACGTTTTGGTTTCAAGTCGAGACTCTTTTTTAATGGTCGATTCGTATTGAATGAGTCTAAATTGGGTCTTCAAAGGCTTTTTTCTTTTGTATTTCGCTCTCATACAGTCGAACACCGCGTGATAAAACCACTGCATGTCGACAATAGAGTCTTGGCTTTGAGTTGCCAGGCGGTTTTGCAACAAAACGACATTATCAAGCCCTTGAGACATTTAGGGAGGAGATGGAGGCCATAGCCAGAAGCGAGCGACTAAACAGCTTTTTTTCTAAAAACGAAGTCACCACCTCAGAAGTATTTCGATTATTTAGATATTGGATTCTTTGGAGTCTTCAAATTTTTTTTTCACTGGCTCAGATTCTGCAAGAGATGCAGGACAGAGATAAGCCATACGATCCAAGACTTTACAATTCGTTACTTGATGTTATGGTCGCATCGAATCCAGAACGAAACTGGATGGAATTGCTTGAATCGATTGAGGGTTTTCCGGGTCTCATAAAATATCGTTTCAGATCTAAGTGCCACAGCCAGATTGCGATGTTTAGCAGCGTAAGTGAAAAAAAGAAGCTCTTTGATCATACAACTTAACACCGGTCTAGCTACGCGACGACAAAGCAATATTGCGCGAGGAGATAGCCGTCAAATTGCGAGTGGAGAAGGTAGAAAGGCTACAAAAGGTGCAATCCTGATTGCTAAAGGTCCAAGCAGACAAGTTTGAGAAAATGAAATTGGAACCACGCGAGAAGAAGCAAACAATGCGTAAGGATCACATTGTGGTGAGGAAGCGGGAAATTTTGGCAGGAGTCAACATCAAGTCGGTAATCTGGAACAGTGATTCAAATTAATCCGTCTAGACAGAGCTATCCAGATAAATCTTGATAGATATCTTCTTTGGCCGATTAAGTTACATCCTTTTTTTTATCAGTGTATTTTAGAACGATCATTGTGTATATGGGGACGGTAATTGGCAGCAGCACTGTTATAATCTATTCGACAATTCTACAAACGTCCAGGGTTGATCTACTTCTGTTCTATTTCCTCACACACTGGCAAGGTGATAGAACAATAGGGAGTCCAGTAATAAAAAAATAGCACTATATAAAAGCTTGGTAATTTAGTCACCGCAGCGCGAAGCCATGACCCAACCAAGTACGACAACTGTGTACACGCTTGGTACTGCGCAGGTGAACGTTAACGGGTTGTACTGCCACAACCTCATTTGGTTACTCCATGGGTTACGAATTGGAATAATAATGATAAAACTTAATTATTACATAACGTTTGATTTTACCGGGTACATACATGGTGTAAACGAAGCTACACAGGTATGTGGACCTTAATTAAGTACCGTGGTAAAGTAACGATATCCGAGCGATGGGCTGTTCAAAGAAGAGGTCTGTAAGGTAATGAGGTAAATGATGAGTACGTGTATTCATTAGTAACTTGAGCTAGTTATATTGTATTCGAAATATACCACGCTATAATTTGAGCAGTGCTAAGTATTAGGGACCACATTTGGTTACTCTTCCTATTTGAGTCAACAGATTTTATCTGTATAAGATGCGACGCTTAAATTGTCGTAGTCTTTGTCGAAAGCTACAACATCAACTTAATCATAACTAAATCAATTTTGTGTTAGGAGACGGATTTGTTCTTACAGATCTTTCGTATCCCAACTGATATTCGTCAGGTTACAGTCAAAGTTACGCGAAAGTCATAGAATAGAATCTATTTGGTCATTACTAGGATAAAGACTGGGTATTTTAGAGCGCTAGGACTTCCTACCGCCATTGTACCTCTGACTTACAAGCTACAAGCTTATACTCACTTATCGATTGATGGACTGTAAAAGTCCAGAAGTATTACTTGTAAGACCAAGTCACGACGTTGCCTGTAATGTTAAGTCTATCATACAGTAGAAAATGTGCGAAGAGCTTGAATTGATAGCTTAGTTAAAACTCGATGTTTCATTACTGGCTTAGTCATTCACCGACATAGGATGACCTTTAAGATTTAGAAAATGTATAGTTTCAATGTAAGCAAAATTGATATCGTCAGAGTTTGTCGAGCCACAAAAAGTTTTCAGCGACTTGTTGCCGATATCGACCAAATTACATACTGGTAATCTTTCAAGACAATCGGGAAATTAAGGTCATATGTTGCGCAAAAATAGACCATAACGCATATTTAAAAGAAAAACTTCAGCTTTAAATAAATTTTGAGCAACTTATTATTAAAAATGTAATACTAAAATACTAGCATTACATTCACAAAGTACGAGGCGTACACGGTCTAGAACGATTCGTTTTGAGCGGTTGCCCATCGTGGTGCATCGCCGACAAAGTTTGCAAAGTCGGGATTGCCACCTTTTCTTTGAAGCCTTTCGTCCAGTCGCTTGTAAAATAGCCACAAAATATCAAACCGAATAAATGGCGACTTTCTTTCTGAACCGGCTCCTTCTCTCTTTCTTATTATCCTGTCAAACGGCACATTTCTTAAACTAATCACCATTATAAAAAAATAAATTTACGACCTTTCAATTTTAATCCCTCGTCAAATTTAAATTACTCATAGGATTGTTGTAAAGGATGGACCTTGCTATGATCTGTACGTCATGTTTGTCACTATACTACTCCAGTTTCTGCTTTGTTGTGTTGTAAAGGCTCAAGACCGAGCTCAGCCATTGGCGTTCCATTCCTTGTCTCTACGGAGTAGCACTCTTGTCTCCTCTCCCTTGGTCATGAATGGCTCGTCCGTGAGGCGACCTAGGATGCTACAAAATTGGACGAGACGCAATCTCGTGTTAGTGTTTCTTGTACTAATGATACACTCGAATCCAGTCGCGACGGCATCTTGTGAAAACGCTAGTACTTTAGTAGAAGGCGAATTAGATGCAACGGCTATTGTCTACGATGAGAATTGCAACGCACGCAGTTTTCAAGTCGTGAGGAATTCCGTAGTTGAAAGAAGTTTAAATCTTTCGAATTTGAATGTTATAGATGTCAAGAGCTATCCACGCGTTTATCAATTGTAAGTGAATGAGAATTGAGTGGTTTGATCAAAAGATTAATTCAAGGTTATGCTGTAGGTTACTCAACAATAATGAACTCGAGATATTTGCGCCTGTTGACTTGGACAATGACATGGAAGCTTTGTACGTGTAGAATTGTTCCTAACACACTCATAAGGTTTTGTCCTGATATTATTATTGCTTTTTCACAGAGAGTTGGCCAATAACTATATTACAAATTTAACAAAGTCACACTTTCCACGACGATTAAGTTATTTAGACCTGAGCTCGAACTCAATTTCGACGCTTTCAACATCAACACCATGGCCAGAATCAGGAGAATTACAAACGCTGCTACTTCATGGAAATTCTCTTAATTCTGTGAGCGCTGAAACATTTTCATCATTAGTTGCATTGCAATCTTTGTACGTGAAATAAACAAGAAAAATTATTGTGTACGACAAGCTCAGAGTTTGTATGATGACAGATCATTATCAAATACCGGCATTACGAATCTGGACAAATTGAGGCTCCCAGTGTCATTGCGTACACTTAATATAAGCAAGAATTCATTTACAAGCGCATCTACAAATTTTTCTAACTTACCAACGGCACTCCAGCATCTGTGCGTACCAATATTTTTTGCAATAATTGACATTTATTGACATTTCTTTTAATGTTATGGATTTGAAATATAGGGATCTGAGTGACAATTTACTTACAGTCTTTCCAACAATTGTCTCTGCACTCACAACACTTGTTGAGCTGTACGTACAGAATTCTTGTCATCATTTCGATTTCAAACTGTCATTCTCATAAGTTTCATGCAGGAATCTTGAGTCAAATGGAATTAAAGAAATTTATGGAGTCACCTTTGCTTCGACGCTTCGAAAAATCTACTTAAACGACAATCCACTTTCAACAATTGAAATTTGTCGCTCGGATGTGAGTGTGTTTCAAAGTTTAATTGATTTTGTTGCTCCATCCTCCATTTCAAGCTCATGTACCAATTCGAAAGCAAAAAGCGAAGAAATTCAAGGTGTTTCTTTTTGTGTATTAGAAGATGACGACTGTATGATCACATCAATCTCTGATGTTGGAAGTGGAAGTATTGAAAATCATGACAGTACAAATTCAAGTGCTACGACTAATGAATCAGAAACAAATTCAGACGTTTCGATATTCTCAGCTGAATCGATTAGCATCATTGGTGGTCTCTTTCTTGCTATTGGTATTCTATCAACTGTTTTAATCTGTGGATTTCTTTACTACAAACGAAGAAATAAAACAAATGACAATCCATCGCATTCTGCAGCAAGGAAAGTGAATCAAGAACGTCGTTATGGAAGCAGTGGAAGTAATTTTATCGTCTTAACATCAGGTGAACGCACTGCACGAGCTATTGGAAATAATCAATACGAATATCGCGATGTTGATGGAAAAAATGGGAATAATAGTTCATATGGAGACAATAGTACAAAAACACCAAGTGGGGATACAGTATGGAATGTTTACGAAAGTCCATTAGACAAATATCATCCTGTGGCTCTTCTTGAATCAAGTCCAAAGAGCAGCAGTTTCTTTGGAGCGAGTACAGTTTCTTTACAAGCACGTAGCAAGATCAAGAGCAAGATTAATCTTGATGATCTTCTTGTGTTTGAGATTCCACCCGAAGAGATTCAAATGCGACGTGCACTTCACATGTCAATGTCTAAGAAAAGTAGTAAAGCTGCATTAGCATTAAGTTCTGTGGGCGTCGGTAATGTACGTAAAGTAGATACAGCTCTCTTTCTGGCGGAATATCAAGGATATAAAGTTGTAATTCAAGCGCTCATGCGGTCAAAGAAACGTTTGGAACAACATTTTGTGGAGCAAATTCGTCTTGCTGCATCACTTGATCATGCATCCATCGTTCACTTTATTGGTATCACTACTGGCTGTAGTACATCAACTAGTCGCAATCGTGGAAGTAGTGCAGCAGCTCAACTTGCTTCGTATGCTAGCAATGGTCCAAAACCTAATTTCAATGAAAGTCGAAGCAAACATACAACTATGGGTGCACCAGCATGGCATCTTGGCGTTGTTTTTGAGTACATGCAATACGGTTCTCTTGCTTCAATGTTTGAAGCTGAACGTCATCGTCGTGAAGGCAAAGGATTTTATCCAAACAAAAGCATAGCAACAACTATTGGTAGCGGGAATGGAAATATCTTTAGTTGGTATCCAGTATTTGCGAATTCAAGCGCAAGTGTAAATGCGAATCCAAATGCTGATTGGCGTTGTAAATTATCAATTGCGTTGGATGTGGCTATGGGTTTAGTCTACCTTCATGCGAATAATTATGCACATGGTAGAATATGTGCTCATAAAGTCTTGGTTAATGAACAAGGAGAAGCAAAGTTGAGTGCAATGGACATTTTATTACCTTCGGATCTATTGTCGAAAAAAGGGGAACTTCATCATACAGCTGACGATTTTCGGGAATCTTTAATAGAGAATGCTCGATGGACGATGCAGAAAATTACATCAAGAGTTGGAAAAAAACCAACTACTAGCAATCTTGGACGTAGTAGATATGCGAATAATAGTGGAGAGAGCAATGTGAGTGAGATTAGTGGTGCCACGTTTGATGAGAATCATAGTCCACATGATCAAAATATCGTATCTGATGAAACATTAGATAAATTTGACGAAACTCGAGGTAATGGAGGTGCTTGTATCTCAGCTCAACGAGATGATGTTTACGCATTTGGTACGTTTTTGTGGGAACTTGACACAATGATTGCTGTAGAGGAAGATTTGGCAAGTTTACGGGCTCCAACTGGTACTGGTGGTAATTCTCAACTTTTAAAATTCTCATCAGATTGTCCAATGGAGTTACAAGAGCTTGCTCGACAGTGTTGGCATGAAATACCAACCGAGCGTCCAGATGCTATTGATGTTCAAGAAGAATTGGTTCGAGTTTTAGAAGGTCGTCTTACAACAACTGGTCAAGTGCAACCTAATTGGACACGACCAAGTTACGTAAGTGATACTAGTGCATTAAGTGTTTTATCAAGCTCCGAATTGTCGTCAAATATGTCGAGTGCACGAACTCGTAAAGATGTTTCGATGGCTGATCTTTAGATCTTGATATTTGAACATGTTACTACTTCTTTTTTGGTGTTATTTTGATAGACATGGTATGTTTTATTGTGTCTTTTTAAGTTATGAAAAATATAACAAGAATTTTCAAATCTAGATTCGAAATGACAAGAATTTCGAAGATTCGATCGGTGTTAATGTTCATTAAGCGCGAGTGGCTATCAGCTGCGGTAAAGTGTGTAAAGTATTGTACCTACAGACATGAGACGAGAGTAAATGCAGTGGAGATGATTAGGCAGCTGATTTATGCTTCCAAAACTTCGATAGTATGTTTAAGTATTCTTAGAGATTAGAAACTATCAAATCTAAAAAAGAAACCGAATAACTCCTATTCTGCCTCTCTAACTATGTAAAACAACAGTATTGAAGTAGAAGGTCGCCAGTTTGACGTCTCTGGTCCCTGCGGGAATTCCAACCTGTATTTTCCATTAAGTACCTCTTTTTACAGGCCAACGAAACGAAAAACTTGGCATTTCATCCCTATGTAATGAAATTACCAATGGAAACACAAATGCTAGATTACACTTTATCTATCCAAATTACATCAATAAAACAAGGTTATCATCCTCTAACAATAACTTTTCCAGCATTTTAATATAAAGCTTACGATACGACAACAGCGTAACCATCTGGCGTACTGAGTTATGCCTTATCCGAAAAATTAGCCCCCAGTCTCAATTGAGCTATACAACAGACAAATGAAATTTTTAAACACTTTACTTCGACTTTCGAAAGCGTCGGCTCTCGCTCTGTCTCGGGTCACTCAATCTCAACGTTCTGATTCAGGACATCGCACTACCTTTGTTAATCTTGATGGTAAACTATATACTTTGTGATTCTTGAAGGTGATCTGGGTCTTTTGGACGTGACTTTCTGTAATTCATTCGCCAGTGTTAAGAATGGATTGCAGCCGCTTCCAATGTGTATTCTTGTAAGATATCAATGCACGAAATACAAAGATTTTAACGAGACGAAACAAGACAACGGCATGAAAGAGGAAAAACCGAGAGGAAATGAAATGTCAAATGCTAGATGCAGATTTAAAGGTGGCACTTGATCGAAAAACGAGACTGCGGATGGAGTTAGAGAATGATACGATCACTCGTGAGGTGATTGAGCAGGCAAAGTGCGAGTTGGGTGAATCTCTTCAATTTCAGCGATTGTGATCGTCAAGAAGGCTGTGATATTTCTACTGACACCTGAGAATGCTTACAAGGCTTCGCTACAAAGTGCTTCTGCAGATAATATGGTTGATTGGCACCTTCACCGTCACCTCGGACGATCTCCAGCGGTGCATCATTTCCAGATTTTCATGTAGGCATCGTATTCAAGAAAAATTACATCAGAAATGGCTTAGAAAGCAATTCATGCGCATGTACGTCCAAGTCGAACTTTGTTACGGAAAGACACACGGGATGAAAGATATGAAAGAAAAGCAACTGCTCTTCTGTTTCGTATGTGGTAACCTGTATCTTGTCGTGAGCAATCTCTGGTAGTGAGCAATAGCAAAATTGAAGCCACGTTGGGACTGTGTTTGATTAGAAGGTAAAAACCGAAGTGAATATATTTAGGTCCTGAGTTCGCTACTCTGCGCTACCTCTATGCCTGTCCATCTAGATCCCCTTAGAAGCTTCTATATTATCTAGACCAATGAACGCCAACCATTATGTAATTACTTACTGTGACGTGCTCGTAAATATGATGACGTCATCTTGTTCAACATGCATTCAGCGGTGTAATCTCAACACTCCCACTCACCGCTAATGCTGCGTGTCTTTGTCGCTGACTTGACCTAGTTTCCGGAGGCTTCGCGCGGAAACTTTAGCATCTTGGTTCCAAGTGCCTTCGTCAGCAAATCCGCAAACTGCCTCTTCGTGTCAACATAATCAATCTCCGACAGTCCTCCTTACACGTTCTCGCAAATAAAGTGGTACTTGATGTCTATATGCTTCGTCCTAGCGTGATATCCAACATTATTGGCTAACGCGATCGCACCTTGGTTGTCTTTCCAAACCTGTGTTCCTCAACTTGCTCGCGTCCCATGTCTCTTAGCATCGCCCGCGTCCGGAGAACTTCCTGCGTGCAAAGACTAAGAGCCATATACTCAGCTTCCGCTGAACTTAGTGGAACTGTCCGCTAGTATTTCGATTTGAATACTGCTGGTGCGCTCGCAATCATGACCATAACTTCCGAAACCGAACGTCTGTCATCGGTGTTGCTGCCCAATCTGCATCCGAGTATGCCTTAACCGCAACGCTCCCACTTTCTCAGTCGACGATCCCAATTTGGCTCGCAGTCTTCAAGTACCTTACCACTCGAATTGCTGCGCCTCAATTTTGTAGTTCCGGGTTCTCCAAAAATCGTGATAGCTGAGTTACCACGTACGCAATATCCTGTCGAGTATATGTCGTTATGTACAGGAACCATCCAAACAAAGAGCGATAAGGTCTGGATCGCATTGCCGACCGTTTCTCTTCCGTTGTTGGTGACTGCTTTGATGACAGCTTCAATACTGATGCGCATGGGCTATCCACGCTTTTGGCATCTTGTAGCGAGTCGGCTTGATCATCAAAGTTCCAGCTGACCTGTCGTGATCGATTTCCATCCCAAAATAAATTCTGCCTTACCCAACTCCTTCATCTTGTAAGCATTTTTGAGTACGTCCTTGACTTGATTTATTTCTTCGCTGGTTCTTGCTGCGATAATCATGTCATCCAGATATAGTTCAACGTGGACAAACCCTTTATTCGTGCTCTTGACATAAACACATTGATCTGCCCCGCAACTCTTGAAGCCATTCCCCACGAAGACACGATGAATCATCTTTTTCCAAGCACTTGCTGCATGTTTCAGTCCGTAGATAGCCTTCTTTAGTTGACATAATCCTTGATATTGTTGACACCTAGCGGAACTTCCATAAAAACGTTGTCCGTCAACACGCTGTTGAAAAAAGCCGTATCGACGTCCAGCTGATCCATTTGATAGTCGCATTCAGCACATACTGCGAGAATTATCCGGATTGAATTCATGTTGGCGACCGGAAAATAAGTCTCGAAAAAGTCGGCGCCATGCTTTTGCTTGAATCCTTTTGCGGCCAGTTGTGTTTGTATCGCACGACATCGCCATTTTGATCATGCTTCTTGGGAAAAACCCATCGTGATCCAATTGTGCGTTGAATCTTTTCTCGTGGCTTCCATGTCCACGTTCCGACTCTTCGTCAACTGAGCCGTTCCTTATCTTTAGCACCAGCTCCCGTCTTGCTATTGTTCGCTCCACTTCAGGCCGAAACACCAAACGATCTTCGTGTTGCACTTGGGTCGGTTGATGATACTCCATAAGCTCAAGTCTGTTTATTACAGGGCTCTCAGAATGCATTAGCCGCTGTACATCGATGCTTGGCGCGTGATCGATATCATCCAATTCGACATCCGCAACTGGCTCTTCGACAACTTCCATCGGATCGTCAAGAACTGGCTGTCGATCCACTTGATACTGTACCTTCACTTCATCACCATCCTTCATTACTTGAATGATTCGATCCGGCTTGACCTCTTGCGTGTCGCAAATACCGCCCATCTCACGCTCATCCAACTTCGCAGAGCCATTCACGTTGATCTTGGCATTCTTCAAGTCAAACACGCGATAGCCCTTGACATTCTCTGCGTAGCCGAGAAACATAGACTTGAAGCTCTTGGGTTCCAGTTTGGGTCGTTTCACATCGTTAATGTGAGCGTAGCCGTGCGAATCAAACACGCTCAAGTGATCCATTTGAGGCTTCATCTTGAAAAGCCAGCTCGTAGGGTGTGATGCCTGGATGGGCCGTATTGCTGGAACGGTGAGTTAAATAAACCGCGGTGTTTACCGCTTCTGCCCACCATGCCGTCGAGACGCTCTTGTAATGCAACATGCTGCGGGCCTTCTTCATGATTCATACGCTCCGCCACTTCGTTCTGCTGAGGGCTGTATGGAACGGAACGCTGGTGTACAATGCCGTTCTGTTGACATATTCCGGTAATTGTCTTGTTTACGAATCCGGTTCCGTTGTCAGATCGTAAATACCTCAGTCGCGCGCCCCATTGGTTCGCGTAAAGCGTCAAAAACTCCTTGAACTTGCCAGCCACTTCACTCTTGCTCTCGATTTTTAGAAATCGCCACATATCTTGAAAAATCATCCACAAACCTAAAAATGTACTTGGCACCACCCTTCATGGAAGTCCTCATAGGCGCCATGACATCGGTGTGTACGCGCTCCAGCACACGTTTCA